AGGGTGTTGCCCCGGGTGAGGGTCCCTGGTAGAGCTGCTGCTCGGCACGGGGGTGTCTGGGGCCCGGGAGACAAGAAACTGGGCCTCCTTCACAGGGTGGCTGCTCTGGAGAGCAGAGGGGCCTCAGGGGAGGCGTGAGGGGTCAGAACCGTTTGTCTGCTCCCCCTTGGTAATGCTGGAATTGCCAACAATACAGTAGGGAGCAACTCTTGACAAACAAACAACAATTTCTAGTGTGTTCTTTGATGTGAAAGCAGCATCGGGAATGAAACACTTTGTTACCTCTTACACCCTCTTCCATCTTCAAACTGTTTGCCCATCACCAGTGGGAGGGACTAGAACCAGTAACACCAGTTCTTGCTTTGGCTGGGGTTTCACATGTCTCGGACACCAGACTAAAGAATGGAACTTAGCAAGGAAGTGTGTAATAAACCTCAGGGAGCCACTTAATCCTTTTCTTTAAGTAACATCAGTGCTCGTGAACAGAACCCCAAATATGTTCTTACAGTTGGATGATGGCAATTCAAAGGGCCCATTAAAGACCATGTTGGAAGAAGTAAGAGAACTCTGCCTGCCAGAAGTCTAGGTTTTCAACTTTCTTACAGGGCTCAAACCTAACCTAAAATCCCAGATTTCCCATGGAGTGGTGACCCCTAGCTACGTCAGTTGTCTGGTGTACTGTCAGTAGGTGTGACATACCCACAACACCTTAAAATTGTACCAGCCTTGTGAGCTCAGTTCTGTCCAGCCAAAAAAAGCCCCCAAACATAACTAGGAGAGTTTGGTCATTGTGTTAAATAGCCTTACACCAAATACGCTCTGTACAAGAGGAGTCTGCAGAAGGAGTGGTTATCATTGCTATTGAGGAGCTTGCTGACAAGCTTCATTCCCTTCCAGAATAAATCTTACATAAAGTTTTTTAATACTGAATTAGTTGACATTTGAGACACACGTGCCACTGTACCTATGTCTTCGATAAATCAAGCTTGAAACATTAGATAATTGAGACGTTCTTTCTATAAGCAAGAAGTATATTCTGAAAATACTGCTTGTTTTTCCCTGTCTGCAGCACATAGAAAGTTCTATGAATAGCATTTCACATGAGAACTTTTTCTGAGGAGGCTTTTTGTTAAAGATTGTTTAGGGTATTTTTGTTAGGGACAAAAAATACAGTCTTTTAAAGCTTAGTAACTACTTGATAATAGATAAATATAAGAAAGAATGCTACAGGAAATTTAATATAACAGGGTATAGTAGAGTTCTGTATGGATTTCTAAGTTTTTCATGTCCAGGATCCTTCTTCTCCCTTTATGAGAGGGAAGACACATATTTTTTTGAAGATCTTGTCCACAGACAAAATAATTATTTCATAGCTGCACGGGGGAGGTCAATGCTGTGTGAATTCTAATAGAAATTCATTTCATGAGTAGCATGAGTACTATTTTTATTATTTAGTGTAAAGCCAAGTAAACTTTAGAAAACCACCTATTTTCTGGGAGGGTTTAGGAGATTTTGATACTCATCACTAACTTTGCCAAATAAAACTGATGTAACCTGGATGTGGCTTTGGACTTCCACACTTGGATATGAGCTGGATCTGTTCCCTGGAATCTCATTCTTAAGCAGCTAAAATAGAAGTAAATGTGCAGTGTAACAGAAGTGTTTTGAATACTGGAAGGTATGCATGGATTTGCTTAGTGGGGGATTTGATTTGAATATATTTAGTGTAATAAAAACATCTTTGCACAGAAATTCAGCCTTACTGAAGTTCTTTCTCTTTCATTTAAGGCTAACTACTTCACTAAATTGTCAAAAGTTCCAGTAATATGCAAAGTAGTTGGAAGACAAGTTCTTGATGGAGTTGGTCTGCCAACATTAGAAGTGGAAATACACTGTACAGTTAAAAACTATGAGAAGGTAGGAGCTGCTTCTTTCTGTTTTATTTATTTTCATGAGACAGTATCAGGGAGAGGTAGTGCTCTCCACATTCTAAGGAACATTTTCTTTTCCATCTTTAATGAAAAGATAAGAATTCTTGTGACTCCACAGTTGAGTGTTGTAGCTTAGGAAAAAAAAAAGGCATTGAAAGTGAGACAGGCAAGAACTATAACAACTTTATTTTTTCATGAGTCAGACAATACTGTAGTTTATGGGTGGGATGTAACAGTGCATCTTTGTGTATTGAATTTTGGTCTGTCTTAATGATGATGTAGCTTTTCCTTACACTCCACAAGTAGTCCTGTAAGTTCATTTTTCCTTTTACATTTTTTTAAATTATTATTATTTTCAGATCCTTACATTTCTGTGACAGTGTTTCAGAAAAATATTGTTAAGGTGAAAAACACTGTAGGTGAAGGCACATTTTTACCTTGAGCTGATAAGCTGATGTGATAGTTTAGTCACACATACCCACCTGCCACCTGCATGCAAAACTGATGGTGTGTTGCCATCTCTCCCTCAACCTGAAATATTCAAGATACTGTCTTTGCAACTCTAGCTATTGTGGAGTGGTTATTCCTACTTTGTCTCATTTAAACTATGCTTCACTTCATTCTTGAATTAAATATCAGTTCATATGTATTCACAGTATGTAGAGTTAATACTATCACTGCAGGCAACTCTGTCTTAATTAACTGAATTTTCTTAAGTATCATTTTTTCTTCACAAGTACAGAAAGGTGAAGACAAAGTGTAACTGATTATGAGGGATGGCTTTAGGCATGAATGGAGTACAGAAAGGTAAATTTAAATTACCTAAGGAAGACAAAGTGTAGCTGATTATGAGGGATGGCTTTAGGCATGAATGCTGATGAATCCTGGTACAACAGGGTGCAATAAAAGATGTCATAGTGACTGTATGGTCTTTAAAATAATTCCATTCTGTTCTGATAAGAAAACATATGCATGAAGCAGATCCATCAGGTGGTTTTTGCCTAAGTAGTTATAATTCAGTTTAAGAAGCAAGAATAATTATGATTACCAAAGCAGGAGACTGGGAAGGAGCTGCTGGATGAAAAAGATAAGTAAGTGGAGCAAACAGAAGATTTGGAGATAGATACTTTTAGAATTGATATGGACACATACTTCTTAGGCTCTCAAGTTACATTTCCAAGTTTGGAAATGAAATAGTTTTAAGCCTTATTTTATTTATTTTTTTTCCAGAGGATTTGTTCCATTGTAGTACCTTCTCATTTTCAAATACCTGACAATGCTTTACCTGCAGCAAATGAAGCTGATGAGAAAGAAAGAAATTCCTTTGTTAACACTGCTGTGAAATGGGTGAATGAATCCCTAGACAGATTGTTGAGAGACTTGAATCCCACTGACCAGTGTGAAGTTGATAAAATACTTGGGTAGGTCTTCTATAGTCTGAAAATTATTGCATTTGAAATAGACAGTGTTCATTTGTATTGTAAATTAAAACCACAGAATATTCAATGTTTTCTACTGGTTTTTAAAATATTTATTTTAGGATGTGATGTCTATCTCAGATAACTTACAGTATATTATTTCCTGCTTTCTCCATAATTGTATGAAGAGCATGTGGGTTTTTTTACCAAGTTTCACACAAGGGATGCAAAAATAAGAGCCTTTAACAAAAAAAAAAAAAAAGAAGTACCTGGACATGTTAATGAGTAAAGGCTCCATTTACAAAACTCTCTCAGTTTAATTCTGCAAATATATCCTTCACAGTAAGGTTGTCTGCACAGAGCTCACTTTCAAACCAGTGTGTTTTGAAAAGTGGTTGTTAAGGTTTATAATACTTGCTTGTGGTTCTTTGTGTGTAACCAATGCTGCAGGTGACTACCAAAAAATAATGTCATTTATGTCTCCAGCTTCCCACATTGACTGTATTGCAGAAGCTCAAATAAATGCCCTTAATCTACCTCTTAGCATGTTCTTTTGCCTGTATCCTGTGTCTACATGTCCCATGTTTAACAATATTTTGATCCAGTAATCTTTATGCTGCTTCCCTCAGTGAATATTTTATAAGAAAAGCAGAAGAAAAAGAAATTCAAGAACAAGACGAAGCAGAAAAAGCAGAAGATGCAGAAGTCACTCTTACCCTTGCTTCATGCACTTCATCAGCAACAACACTACCTGGGAAAAAAAAAGCAGAAAAACCAGGTTTTTGCTTATTCTATTTTAGTATTTTCTGCAATACAGATATTAATAAAGGTGCTAAAAATACTTTCTGAAGTATTCCGTAGGCACTGAATATTTCACAACACATGACAGTGTCATGGAAGACAGACATTTCTCACATGTTTCTCATGTTCAAAGGGTTTAGTTACTGTCTCCTAAATCTTCTTTCTGATCCCAGCAGTTTCTACTGCAGAAATGAGGGAGGGAAAAAGACAGAGTTTTCTCATCATTCACATGCATTTGTTGAACAGAGTTTCTGCCTTTGTTTTACAGTTGGCTTAGACAGGAGGTTATTACTCTTCAGAGTCAGAAATAAGAATAGAGGGGTATGGAAATGAAGAATAAAAATGAAAATGATAAAGAAAAGGGAATCACAGAACTGAACAGGAAAATGGAAAGAGAATTAAGATAGAAGTTGAAAAGAATGCAAAGATGGAGGAGGGGAAGTTTCTTGCTAACACTGAGGAAAGGAGGTACTAAAGGGAAAAGCCAAAGAGAAAGAAGAAAGAGGATGAGATGGGAATGATGGGCAGTACAGAGGAAAAAGAAGTAAGCAAACAGTGCTACTAAGGGAGAAAATGGTGAGAGAGTAGAGAAACAGGGAAAGTATACATGGCCAAAAACACCAAACCCAAAGGGAAAAAGCACCGTATGTGCCTCCATATATGCATTACCCTCAGGAAAAGTTTTTTATCATTTTTTGGAAGAGCAGACAATTTTTGGCAAGTGATTATTTCTTGTCAGTTTAGTTTCAAGTGTCATACACTATCAGTAAAACCTCCCAATTAATATGTTAGATGTGGACACAGTAAATTCACCTTTGACCTGGAATGTAACATCTGTAGTTGCCAGGTCCATCCAGATGTCATCATCTTGTATATTATACTTCTAATCAAGCCTCTGCTGATAGATGTGTGACTTGTTCACACTAATTGTGGTGTCTTTATATTTGATTCTGACATTGACTGTAATATTATTGTGGGACTCAGAACCTGACTCTTAGGAGCCAATGATAATGAAGCTACTTGTCATCAGAGACCAGATGCTTTCTGGTGGTGACTTCCAGTAGCAGATGCTTTCAGAGGGATCATCTGTGTTGTAATTGATGCAGGTTACAAAGTAGAGTAGTGGAAAGGATCTCTGCAAAATACTGCAGTTTGTCAGAGTTGCTCAGCACTTGATGACTAGTGTCTAATGTGTGTAGCTCTTCATCCTCAACGTAAGAGGTACAGGATCTCTGTATAGCATGCAGATGATGTATAGTATAATCTGCATATCCAAGGAAGGTCTCATTAAGAGCATTTTATAATAAAATCAGATTTATACTGTCATATGTTATTGAAATGAAAACTTGCATGGCACTCCAATTAGAAGCCAAAGCAAGTGGTCAAGTTTCCAGAACGCCCACAGTGCATGTAGTTGTTGAGAACCAGACAGTTTATTACAGTTCAAAGAGGTGCTTACTGGACGTGTTCATGTAATGTAGGCAGGAAATGTGACAGTGGGAGCTGCTGGGATTCAGGCATTTTGACAAAAGTTACTCTATTGCATCTGAAAGAAATAAATTCTTTTGAAAATTTAGTGAGACTGTGCATGTGGAATATTTATAAAGCCTGTTTTCTCATTGGAAAATGCAGCTGCAATAGGCCTAAATTTTTTCACAGTCATTATTAGAAGAAATCAAGTGTGTGTGCTATACTCCTAGTCAGGTTATAATGTTGTCCTCCAAGTTGTTTATGCAAAAGCTGAGCAGGACAGTAAAGAATACTGAAATTATGCTTATGAAAGGAAAAAAAAGCTGCAAAATTATGTAACATTACTGGATATAAACACAGATAACTAAAAACATAGATTTCAGTGGCTAAAAGATCTCCAAAGAAATTGCTTTGAAATAAATTTGACACCAGAGTGAGGACAGATACTTTGCTTACTTGCAAGGTCATTTCACATAAAACAACTGCCAAGATTAAGTAGATAAAAAAAGATTATTTTGTAATACATTGAGTACATACTGAAATGGTAATATATTTACCCATGTAACTGTGATGCATAAGTACATGTGTTAGCTACTACTACTATCTGTCTCGCAGGAAAGAAGGTGTCAGTTGTAGAGAGAATGATCCCACCTGCAGAACCTGATGAACCTGTGCTTTGTGGCAGCTTAGCCATTGGGGGAACATCACTTGCTATAGCTAAGGCTGGTGCCACCATTAGCCATGTCCCCTTGTACTTACATATTGCACTGCTGAAACATAAGCAGGTACATGTGACTTCTATAATTTTGTTTATTTTATCCCAGTTATTCTAGAATTCTGAACCCAAAAGTCCCTCATGACAGTGGGATTATATATCATGGAATCACAGAATTGTCAGAGTTGGAAGGGACCTCCAGAGATCACCCAGTCCAACTCCCGTGCTGAACCAGGATCCCCTAGAGCACATTACTCAGGACTGCATCCAGTCTTGAATATCTCCAGAGAAGGGGCCTCCTCACCCTCCCGGGGCAGCCTGTCCCAGGGCTCTGTCACCCTCACCATAAAGAAGTTTTTCCTCATATTTAAACGGAACATCCGTATTCCAGCTTGTGCCCGTTGCCCCTCGTCCTGTCACTGGGAACTACTGAAAAGAGTCTGGCTCCATACTTCCTGCACCCACCCTTGGGATGCTTATAGGCATTAATAAGGTCTCCCCTTAGCCTTTTCTCCAGGCTGAAGAATCCCAGCTCTCCCAGCCTTTCCTCATAAGGGAGATGCTCCAATCCCCTGGTCATCTTGGTTGCCCTCTGCTGGACTCTCTCTAGTAGTTCCCTATCGCTCTTGAACTGAGGAGTCCAGAACTGGACACAATACTCCAGCTGTGGACTCACCAGGGCAAAGTAGAGGGGGAGACCCTGACATACTGGCCACACTGTTCCTTATGCACCCCAGGATTCCATTGGCCTCCTTGGCAGCAAGGACACATTGCTGGCTCATGGATAATTTACTGCATACCAGGACTCCCAGATCCTTCTCTAAACTACTTTCCAGCAGGTCCACTCCTAACCTATATTGGTGCATGGGCTTATTCCTCCCCATGTGCAGGACTCTACACTTGCCCTGGTTGAACCTCATTAGGTTCTTCTCTGCCCAGCTCTCCAGCCTGTCCAGCTCACTCTGGATGACAGCACAGCCCTCATAGAATATACCCTTAGGACCACTGCCTGTAGCAGTCTTTGAAACATGTGCTATAATGAAAAAAATATAATTATTCAGATTTTTAACATTTTTATTTTCACATGGTACTCCCAATTACAGGAATCACCTAAAGAAATGACTCTGCCAATCCCAATGTTTAATCTCTTCAACTGTGAAAGAAGTACATCTGCAAAACTAAAGTTAGTGAAAGAAATTATGCTTGTACCACCAGTTAATTTATCAGTCGAACAGGTACTGTTTCATTTTTGTTTTTATAAATGTACTCTACAGTCTTCATATAAACTATATATCTACATACTGTTTATGTACTAAGTATATAGATCTTTTAAATATAGTCCTTCCAAACTGTTTTTCATTTCTTGCTTGCTGGCAAGGCCAAAGTTTTAACAAATGTTAGTGCAGAAGTCTAAGACAAGGATAATTAAAAGCTGTAAATAGATGAAGATTTAAAAGAAGATACATGAAGATTTCAAGATTAAAATGTATGTGTTAGTATAGAAGCAAAAATCAGTACATTGAAGCAGATGTAGGGGAACATGTGTGATACATAACAATAAGAGGCTTTGATTTTTTTCGGAATGTGATTTGACATTAGTAGATTATAAATAATATCAGTATATAGAGCTTGTAAAACAACAAAATTCATAACAACTTCACTGGAAAGCATAAAATCATTGGGAATAAATGGTTTTAAAATGAAATTGTGAAAATAGAAGTGAACACAAAGGAGAACAACATCCATTCAAGGGGCCAGAAGGGTGGATGAGACAGACTGGATCAACCATCTCTTTTTGTTCAAGTGCTGCATTAAAGAATGGATCTGCACAAGATGCCTACACCAAGGCTGTGATTTCTACTTTGTATGCTGGGGACCTGAACAAACAGCTGAGCTCGATTCTCTCTCTTTTTCCTTTTCCCTTAACTTTTTAGAATTGTCACCAAGAGCTCTTAATAAGCTTGCTAATTCTATACCTTTCAAAGACATAATGCCTCCTAGTGCTGATGGGAGAGCAGCAAGCTGCTTGCTGCAGTGCAAAAAGAGTAGCTGTTGGTGCTGTGTTGATGTGTTGTCAGCTGTGAGTGACTCCTGCCCCCTTCAGTTTTCCTTTACTGGCACAGTTCAAAAAGACTGGAAATGTGATTTTAAAAGTTAACATTAAACTTTTAGTAACTCAGCTGAAAAGGAAAAAGTCTTGTGTTAAAAGCAGTGGATTAATTTAATTGGATTGTTCCTTCATCCCCAATGTTTAAATTGAAGACAGCAATTTTTTTCCCTGCTTCCTGGAAGTGTTCTAAAGGTAAATTTTCAATCTGTGTCAGAGTTTCCAGTTAGAAAGTAACAGGTAGGGTCACAACTGTGAACAGTGATTATCATCTTCCCATGTCTCAGATATTATGCAAACTCAGACACAGCTTACTTTTTAGATTTGAGAAAGGTTCCTTTTGGGAAAGAAGAGACCACTTTTCTTGCCATCCCACTCACCAGCATAACCAAATATTCCTCTTCATTCCACTGCTGCTAACCCTTTTATCATTGGACACTTGACTGCATTTTGTGGGGGGTGAGGATTGTGTTAAGGAAATCTTTAATAGTCTTTTTTAAAAAATACGTTATATTAAAATCTACATCCATCTCTTCTGCTTTAAGGTGCTAAGATTAAACAATTTATCTTTCTTTTGAGAAGTACTGTTGTTTAATTCCAGGGCATACAAAGATTTCTGGATATTCAGAAAGAACTGGTGAGACTGATGGATCCTCCAAGCAAAGCGGTACAATAACCAAGTGTATAATCATTTGGACATCCTACTACTATTGTCTTTTGAATCTTAAACATGGAGCATGTTGTCAGGCTTTGCCTTATAGCACAGAGTAGAAGATAGATTTCTCAGCCAGCTGAATAGAATTTTGACCATTTGGTGATATTAAGTTAATTACGATAGAATGAAACATTTTTTAAGCATAGTAAGTCTTTCTGTTCACCTGAAGTGCCCTGGGAGTGAATGGTGCCACAGTGAATATACAACATGTGGTTCTGATCTCTCTGAGTCTCACAAACATGCAACGTGCATTATTCAAGGTACTGTTGGTGTAGTTCTGTATCAGTCTCAGTATGTGCATTTGCTTGTTGCAAAGCAAGGTTGTTGAGTTTCTCCAAATACAGAGCCTAGAATCTCATTCCTGAGATCCCCTGTAATTTTCATAGGCTAGTTGACAATCTTCAGAATAACAATTGTTGGCTGGGTTGATGCCCACCTAGAAATAAACATTTGAAATGAGTCATCACCACAGAGTAAAACTGGATGATTGGTGATAGTATTCCAGACACAACAGAAGCCATTTCCTAACTTCAATATTTGCAATGTCTTCAGACCAAAAATCAGTCAGTTATTTTATTTTATATTTTATTTTATTTTTCTTTCTGTCTGTCTGTCAGTTTTGGCCTTTGCCACGGAACTGATTTCTTTCTCCTTTCACTCCCAACAGTCCACTGCTCAAGTAGCAGACAGTAAGAAAGGGAAAGCACAGAATGCAGGGAAGAAAGCGGTAAGAAGAGAGATTTTCATTTTAAGCCTTCAACAAGGTATAAACAACAGCAGGGAACCAAAATGGTTGTAAGAAATGAAACACATCTACATTGCCATTTTGGAGAGGTCAAGGCAAGACTTTTAACTATTCCAAATGCTCCTATTTTACATAGTAATTTGGATTCTCCTGACTGTACCCTCCCTTCCTGTGGAACAGTAAGACAAAGGGGAAATTCTGCTGGAATCTGGTAATTTTTCTCATATAGAAATCCTGGTAAATTATCCACATGTGCATTTTTGCAGGTCTGTAGCACCAGCAGAGAACATGCACTTTTAATCATGTAGGCCATAAAACTACTACCTCTAAGACTTGTATACTGTGCTGTTTCCAAACTCTGGGAGCAGAACTCCTCTCTTCATGTTGCATCAAGTTCCTCTTTGAGGTTATAGATAAGGGCAGATACGAACCAGTTGGTCTCACAATAATGTGCAGGGCATTCTTTTGTTTGGCACAAATGATCTTTTCTTGTCACTTCAAAACCTGTAGTTTACAGATGAGTTTTCTAAATAGTGGGATGGAAATGCCATGCTGGGTTTTGCTCCCCATTCTGAGACGATTAAAATATTACCAGGTGAGAATTGTTGCTGTTGTGGAATATACAAAAGAGAGGATGAGTGGAAGTTTTCTTGGGTTTTGTTGCTAATACAACAAAAAATTCACCATCATTAAGCAGCTGGCCAATGTTTTTCTGGTGGGTAGCACAATATGTACTGCAGTCACAAGTTAAAATAATTCCTAAAGATATGCACAGGGAACCAATGCATTAGATTCCCTAGAAAAAAAGTCCATTTATTTAAATAGAAGAAAACTAAAGGAAGAAGTAGTGAGACTGAATTTTAAGCTGATAAAAGCACCATATTGGTTTGAACTTTTTTTGGTGGACTAAAAAAAGGAAAAATGACAAAGTAGGCAGCAAAGAAGAAATGGTTTAAGTTATACGAGTAAAGACTAGACAGAAGGAAAATGTTATAAAGATAAACATTGCTTTTAATAGTATGTGTCAGAATCAGATGAAAAAGCAGACTTAACCTCTATTTCATGTTAAATGCAGGAAGACTGCAGCAATTCTTGCTGTTTATTGCTTCAGCTTAGTGCTCCAAAAGGAATAAGTAAAATAGATTGTCTCTCTTTGCAGATTGCTACGAAACAATCTCATAATAATTTGACCTGTGTTTTCTTCCTAATTTTTTATGTGAGGGAACATTCTATATCCTCTTGCTGGACTTCTGTTCTGTCCACTGTAATTAGTTCTCTAACTCATGTCAAAACTGATGCCTTCCAAATGATTTATCCAGTCTACCTCAGGATTATATCCTGCTGCTTTCCTGGCAATTTAGTGTAATTCGTTATAATCCCAAATTCACAGACTTTAAAGTTGAAAAATGAGTGTTTGAAAAAACTACCAAAAAAACCCCTGACAACAGAAGCACATGGGAAATATCTGCTCAATGTCATTCTGCTTGTGACTGGTGCCCAGAACACTGTTCCTGAGGCAGACAACTCCCTGCAGCTCTGCTAGAGATACTTCCCCTCTGTGAAATTTGTTCCTTCTAGAAATCTTGGAGGATTCTAGTGTTTCTTGAACAGTCCACAGAGGCAATATCAAAGTTGTAGTTGAGGAAAAAAAGAGTAAAAGCTGTTTAAAAGAGGAGAACATGTTTTTTGTGGCAAAGGGATGGTCTCCAGCACGTGAAACTTTCACGTAGCATCCATAACAATTCCATAGTTGTTAAGAGTACCTTTAAAACTATAAACTGGTCATATAAGAATGAAAACTCCATGACTAGACATATTTCCAAGGACTGTTAGCTCTCCACTCATTAGCACCTGGTTACTCTTCAGTCACAGGGAGTTGTCCTTAAAGTTGCTAAGACAATTTCTGAGAACTAATTTATGTTTTGACAACTGAATGCAGACTGAAATGACAATGAAAATATATATAAGTATTATGTATATACATGTGTGCAAATAAAGTGTTTGGTTTTGTTTTTCACTTTCAGCCACAAGCCTTGAAAAGAGTATCACACTTAGGCTGCCTAATAATAGGAGGTGATCATCTGGAACAACTGCTGCTCATAATACAAACAGCTTGTGATAAAATAGAACTGAAGTTAGGAACAGACATGTATTTAGCAATAAATTGTGCTGCTCATGAATTAATGGATTATGTAAGTTATTTTCCATCTCTATTTTGTGGGTTTTTAAAAGGAATCTAGTGATTTGGTAACATTCTTTATGATTACAATTACATTGCAAGCTCACCTAGAAGCTTCTAACTCCATTGTTAAGGTAGCAATCAAGCAAACCAAAAGAACTGTCACAGCATTTATAAATTATGGTAGAATCAGTCCTACAAGTGGTGCAGGTATGTTACTGGATGATGAATGCAAGGACATGAGACATGCAGGCATCCTGCCTGGTAGCTTGGTGCAGTGGGAGCAGTGGGAATGCAGGTATTCCTCCTCCACAGCTGTACCAGGACACTGGTGGGGAACCTGACAATAGATAAAGCTCAGTAGACCAAGGTCTGCAGGAATCTCTCTTACCTTCCTGATGTAACCTCACTCATTCAAAGGGTAGGAGTCTGCCTGCATCAGCCAGGTTAAGTCCTTTGTTTATTTAATAAGATTTTTCAGATCAGTCTGTGTCAAATTGTTAAAATTAACTTTTTTGGGGGTGCGAAAAGTGAGATTTTTTTCATGCAAGATCTAATAAAAATGTCAAATATTGCTCACTTTATGACAGAGTAAAACTGGCTGTGCTGCCTAGAAAATGCTGAAATAGACCTCCCTTGTTTTGGAAGTGGCATCTTCCAGAGACTTTGGCTTGAGCCCACAGGAACCGACTGCTACTTCAGGCAGAGTTTTCTATAGCAGTGTGCTGAGCTCTGAGACATGAAGTAGACAAGTGAACAGGGACTTACTGAAGAACACAGAACCTGCTGCCTTACTGGGGACACTACTGTCACAGGAGCTGTATGTTTGTGTTAGCACCCTGGGTTTTAAAGTATAACCATCCTTCTTTTTATGCTTTTCATTTTACTTTTCTAGGTTAAAGGGAAATACGAAACACTCACTGGAACGTTCAAAAGTCCTGATGAAATGGTTGACATGTATGTGGAACTGATTGATAAATTTCCTTTTATTATTGCATTGATAGATCCCTTAAGGAAAGAGGTAAGATAGCACAGTATGGTCCTTGAAAAATTTAATAATGATGTTACTTGGTATATCACTGAACTTTTTATATTTTTACAAAACATGGAATTTGCAGTTTCTGTTTTTGGAGCCTTTTGGCACAAAAATATAATTATAAAAATGTATTCAACAATCTCATTTGAAAATCTGTAATTGACAATAATGCTGAATTTTATTATACTTTTGACATAATTCCTGACATGAACAGAATATGATCAGGAGAAGCATTTTAAAGAATAACAATAAAATGTTGTGGTTTTTTTCTGATTTTACTTGCTAAACCACTGTCATTTTTATTACATTTTCCTTCTTCTGTAAACAATAATTAAAAATATAAAATTAAATAATAAAATTCAAGTGATATACAAATGATACTGTTTTATATAGGAGAAGCTAAAAATTTGGACCTAGTTTTATATTCCTTATAATCACTTAAAAAAAAAATTATTTCTTCTACTCTTCTTGATTATGATTTATACCCAAAGCCAGAGCAAACCTGTCACTAGCAATGTTGCTTGGCAGCATTTTTAAAGTGGTAGTAAGATAATTTACCACTGTGATCAAAGTTAGAGGAGTCAGTGTGGCCAATAGATTACAATAAAGTAGAATACTATTTAAACATGTTACCAGGTGTTAGCTAGAGGAAAGAAACAGATTGCAAAACCTTAAATATTAGCATTTATAGGTAACATTAAGTTTCCATGTATTACAAAAAGGAAAAAAACTGAATTGGAGCAGAACTCACAATTATAGACCTGGATTCTGCAGTTGCACAACTTAATAAAATTTTGCTTAAACATTTTAAAAAGACTTATTAAAAAGCTCATTTTTAAGAACACCTGTGTTTACTATTATCTCACTCCAGAGCATATTACTATTGCCTCTCACCAAATTATTCTCCACTGCTGCCAGGGCTGCAAACTTCCTTGAGAATTCCTTCAAAGAAACATATTTGCAATATGAAAATCTGCAGGAGAATTACAGTTTGAAAAAGAACACTGTTGAGGAACATGCCTCTCTTCCTCCCCCCACCCAAATCCACAAGGCTTACCCATGCCACATCTTTGCCACAGATCATTAGGTCCTTGAGGATTAGCTCTGATACCAATTCAACAATTCATTGCCAGACAGCAGAACATGTAAGCACTAGTTTAAACATTTGTTCAGGTGTCAAAAACTTAACATGGGCTTGAAATCATGAGAGGAATGAACCCTTATTCAGATTGTAACTTTACAGGTACAGAAGTATGGTCTGCAGATCAAGAATTATTATGGGTAGAATTATGAACTAGAAAAGTAATGTTTTTAATGTGAGAACTTTGCATTCTGTGGACACAAAGCACAATCATTTGTACATTTCTTCTTTAAAATTTTTCATATATCCTTGTCCTTTATTTATCCTTAAATCACAGTACCATGTAGACAGTGCATTAAAATCAAGAAGCAAAGACCCTAAAAAATGTATGTACCCAGTGCATCAGTCTTACAGCTGTGATTATCCTGTCTTAATATCTTATTGAGTCTGTGGCTGCCTCCTATTTCAGTATTTTATATTTAAATAAATGGGTAAAATATTAACACAAGAATTATTCCTCTGAATAAAACAATAGAAAAATATTTTGTATCCCATTCAAATTAAATACATCTCAGGAAGGAAACCAAAATAGCAAAGTCCTACCATTATTTTAATTTGAAATATTTTAAACTGTACTTGTGTGCAACTACCTTTGATTAATTCCAGATTAGAATTTATGTTTTCTAGCAAAATGTCAAATCCTAGCAAAATTCCAGTGGTGTGTTTTCCTTTGGTAGACAGATTTAAAATGCAGCACAAAATACAATATGTTTATTTGAAGGGTATCTTTAGGATTCAGTCCAATTTTTGTTTTGTTGTGTTTTGTTTTTTTTTTTCCAATTTATCTCTTCATTTAGGGTTTTCATGCAGTTTTTTAAAATCTAGTTATTTATTTCTTCTTACAGGACCGACAACAATGGAATAAAATATGCTGTGCTCTTGGTTCCAAATGTTACCTGATTGCTGAGGATGCTGCCAGGTGCATTTCCAAACTGCAAATTGATCAAATGATAAACATACCAACCTGCAGTGGTCTTGTCCTAAAATACATTAACCAAACCAGGGTATCAGACCTCATAGAACTTACTGGACATCTAGATGGTGAGTAGAGGGAGAAAAAGGCTGACATTCACACCCTGCAAGTCAATAAATAGAGTTACTACACTTTGAAATACTACATCATTTTATTTAATTATTGTCACTTCTGATTTAGAAAGAGCTTGTCAGAAGAAAACTAGAAATCATGTTTTGATACACAAGTCTCTGCTCAAGAGCTTAAAACAGCATTCAAGGCTTCAGCTACATTCAGTTAATTCACTGTGGATGCTTTGAATGTGGGTGCCCTTTGACACTGCAGCTCAGTGTCATACAGTTAGGTATCAGAATTTAACACAGTAAAAAAAAGATATAGCTGAGTAATCTGAATTTTGACTCAAAGTATTAATAATGAAGAAATCCAAACAAGTCCTAAATGTTTAAAATTATAGTTTATACAGATTACTGACTATATATTGCTGAGCCTTTGTGGTAACAGTACAGACAACTTGAGCAGTTTCATATGTAAGATTTCTCTTTGTATCAGTTTTTCTTTATTCATTTTTTATACCCAAGGAAGAGATGGACAAAAGTAATGTAGCTAATTCCTTCCTTATTCCTCCAAAAAGCCCAGAATCACCCAGAGTCAAAGTGAGAAAATAACACCGTAAAGATTTCATTCAGTCATGATGGGAAACTTTTTCTTTATAGGGAGGAAAAATCATGACTATAGCAAGGAGCACATTTCAATAAATAGAACTGCCTCCCAGCCTGCAAAATACATTCCCAGACAGATCAGGGAGAGAAGGAAATTAGGGAACGATATTAGATAGTCCCTTATCCACACTGAAAATAAAATGTGATATTAATGTAGCAAACTGATACTGTTTACATCTTTATAAGAGGGGTTTCATTGGTTTTACTCCTGTTTGTATGTAGTGTAGAGAGCCCAAAGGTAAAAAAAAAAAAGTCCAAACTATTTCTGTGTCAAATATATAAAATTTAAACTAATGAAGGTTTTACACTCCCATTATATATAGATCAAAGACAAATTACCATATTAGGAAGTCCAGATGGAGAATCTTCTGATGATAGCCTTGTGGATCTGGTAAGCATTGAAAGCTGTTCCATTGCAGAATTGCCAAGCCCCTGCTTTTCACATGAACTATTTTTTAAGGAGAAAGAATATTTCTGCTTGAGAAAGAAACATTTGACAAAATGGGGTTTTTCTAGAGAGTTGCTTTTTTTTTTCCCCACAGCGAGTTCATCTTTGAGTTAAAGAGAACACCCAGGAAATTTGCCAAAGCAGGGAGTATATTCCCAAATAGGCACCATCTATTTGATTGCATTAGTTTATAAAATTAAAAAAAAAAAGTAAAAAAAAAAAGTGAGTTACTTAAAACATTTCTGAGCAGTAACAACATTGTAGGCAAAAATTTTTTACACTAACATATTTAGCCTTTTTGTACTAAAGCCACGTTTGCAAATAAAACCTCATTTCACAGGCCAGTGAAAATGATTGTTTGCCTCAGCCCAACCTTTCCTTGAGGTATTTTATTCCTATTTAAAGGAGGGTTTTTAAGCAGTGGGAAGAGTGTTGAATGAGAAGCAGGATACCACGTTTAATGACGAAGAGTCACTTCACTTCCCACCCTTGTGTGGTTTTAAATTCCACACTTTCTCATTGCAGGCGGTGGGACTGGGTGCCAGGTTCGTCAAGTTGGGAGGTCTTTTACGGGGAGAAAGGGTGACCAAATACAACCGCCTCCGTGCTATAGAGGAAGAACTGGCCAAGAATAGAACCCTACGTATGAGCTTCTTTCTTACTTTGTTTTCTGCTTGCCATGAATACGAGAACAAAGATTGGAGGGAGAATGATTGAAACCGCCCGGCAGGAGGGGAGCGAAATCAAAAGACTAGAAATAAGTGCTGACAAAAAAACCCAACAACCTAGGATGGCACTTGCCACAATGTATATTGTTGTCCTTAATGGATTATCTGTTTACTGAAGGTTAAAATAGACCCCTTCTTGAGGAGTAGCCTACATTAAGCTTTTTTTTTTTCCCCCCAGAATTAATTGGTTGGAGTCTTGAAGCCCACAGTGCAAAAGGGACAAAACAAAACCCATGCGTATGAGATGCCAAAAAGCTGCCAAAATAGAATTTTAGGGCCAAATACCCCACCCTCCCTCGAGCCTCTCAACGTATATTGCGAAGAGAACTTCATTTCACAACCCTCTTTTGTGTTACATTTCCAGCAAGACGTGTTTGGAAAGTTACAGTGGCATGGGTAAGGGCTAAATATAAAACCCAAGGAAGCCCCAACTGGAGGATGCACATTCTGCCTGAGCCGCTTGTGTGTATCTGCTGCATCTCGGGATCTGCAGCTTCTTACACTGCCCTCGACACTGTTAAATGCTTAACAGTTCATTAAAACCACTTCTCACTTGCTCAGGTATCAATCAAGACAGAATAAAGGCACACACAGTCAGAAGGAGAGGCAGAGGGGTAAGGAAAGCAAAAAAGGAAGGAAAGGGTTTCTAAGAATTTCTTACACCTAAGAAGCATGAAAGAGAATTAAACCATTTTGTCTTCTTGCTTCTAATAATTTTCAGTCTTCTATGCATAGGATAGCAGCACTGGACATGCACACTATACAACAAAGTTTTTACTTTAAGACATTTTTATTGAGATTGAGTTTTCTAAATGTCCCCTATGCTCATATATAATAATTGTAAAAGAAACAGAAATTCTTTTTGCTGAGGCAGTAGTTTGACAGAATGCATTTTTTCAAAACCAAGACAGATAAAGAGCTATGAATTTTAACTGCCTTGCCAATATTCACATTCCCTGTTCAAATGGTATAGCCTAAACAAAGAGCCTGAGTTTGACAAATATTTAGACGTAGATCTCATAAAATGAAATAGCAACAATTCCTGATGCTGTGAATCATTTGGCAGAAATAAAATCCAGTAACTAAATCACCAGCAGGGAAATTCTGAGACAGCATGTCTGAGCTGCTTACCAAACCCTTCATTTGGCTGGGCTGCCAGCTCCAGAATACACTGGAGAGCTGAGTAGGACTCTGTCAGTGGTGACACTGGCCCATCAGGAGTGTCCCCAGGAGCAGCTGAAGGGGGCAGGCAGCTGGGCCCAGGGCCAGGGTGACAGCCTTGTCCCCCCCTGGCCTACCTGCAGTCCCAACACCATGTTTCTGCCACCAGTTTCTCCTGGAAGGTGGGTGTGAATTTGAGAGCTGAAGCACTGACTGGCCAATCCATTACTGAAATGAACATATTTAGCTGAGATAGTCAGTGATGGGATGGGCAGTGGGTGTGTGGCAAAACAGGGAGTTGGGTGGTGGGGTTAGGGAGGAAGGAGAGTCACAGAACTGGGAAAAACAGCAAGAAGAGGGTTCACAGGAGCCACATCTGTTCATGGGCTTCCAAACAGTTGCTAAAGGCTGGGGAAGAGAAGAGGCACAGCCAGCTGACAGGGACTTCTGCAACAGCAGCAGAGCAGGTGTTCCAAAAAAAAAAAAAAAAAGCAGCAAGGTGGGATTAGTGAGGAAGGGAATGCAATAAATGTCCCAGCCCAGGCTGCTCTGCACTGATCCCACAGTCAAAGCACAAGGCTGGTGCTCCTTTGTTTCTAAGGACCAGACTCTTCAAGGCAGTGGGAGGCACCTGTGTCATGTGGCACTTAAATCTGAGTGCACCAGAGGACACTGCAAGAAACCAGATTACAGCAAACATGAGTTTTCTTTTTTTCTCTTCTATTTCAGGTAAAGCAAGTCTGGAATTTACTGCTTTTGCTGAAGAATCAGAGCCAGAACAAACAACTTTCTGATATACTTCCTCTCCCAAAGCAGGGTTTGTTGCCTCCACAGCTCTCAGCCAGCCCTGGAGGTTCTCAGCCTGCTCTCCTCCCAGAGAACGGCACACTGACCTGGGTTGTCAACATTAAGTTTTGCAGAGATTTCTTAACACATTCTAGTAAGAAACTCATGTGTTAACTACTTCTTAATCCGTTTATTTTCAAGGATTTACTTTGATACTTACTTACTTAGGTTCATGTTTTAAAAAGCATTCAGATACCAGCTTCTCTTTCCCCAAGAGACAGTGGCTTTCAGCTGAGCAGCAGCTACAGTTTGAAAACAGCACAAAATTCTGTGCTGTATTTACAAATTGGCAAAACAAATACTTCTGTGTTAGATCTAAAACGAACTGTTTGTTTTGGGAAAGTCAAAGTCTCTCTCCATACAAAGAGCAAGCTATTGACAAACAGTAAAAAAACCCCACTAAAACAAAACAAAACAACCAAACACATTTTACAAAAAAAAACAAAGGCCTTGACTGTTTTGCTGCTCCATCCCCCCACACACCCTCAATGCTGCCCTTAGATGGAGCCTACAAGGGAAATGTTGCTCCAGTTCTAGCTATCAGTGCATCAAGCCCCAAATGTAGGGCACAAAGCTGTAATTGGCATCACCAGGAAGCTCGTCAGAAGCAGGGAATAACCAGTCAATTTCACAACGGCTGGGAAACTTGTCAGGAGTCTTTTTAATAAGCAACAGTGAAAAGATAAATAATTTACGTCCTAAGTAACAAACAGTTGAAGTAAAAGAAATGCTTCTTTAAAAACTTCTGGGTTTTGCATAATTTGAACATATAATACAGCAGCAGTAAGTTGAGGAAAAATACATATATAAAATGTTGCATTTTAAATTCAGTGTAACAGATACTTCAATGGAAAATTAACCACCAGAACCAATTGCCCCCCAGAAATGAAGATAATAATGAGAGACAAATTTCCCCAGGTTTAGGAATTATATGTAGTTCAGTAATGAGACCGAGTCAAAGATTTTCTTAGCAAACATGCAAAAAACACCAAAAAAGATGTGAAACTACCACACTCATTGCTAGAATTTTATTTTTAGGAAGAGCACCAGGAAGTTGCATGCAGAGCCAAACCAACAAACTCGGAACATTCATCCTTCAATACTATCACTGTTTCAAATCATTAAATAAAAAATAACCCAAGTGCATTCAAGTACTTGACCAGCCAGTTTCAGTTACTCCCATCTTTAGGTAAATCCCTGATTACATTTGTTCACTCATTATAAAAGAACAAGATACTGTGTTGAATTTAAAAGGAGACTACAATGGAATGTCAGTTGGCAGTGGAGCAAGTCGGTTACATGCCCACCTCACTGCCTTCATGGGAGAGAAGGGCTGAGGGAAACTGGGATTTGTGGCATCAGATACAAATATCTGAAGTGTTACCTAATAAAGAAATTCACTCCACCAGTGTGTACCAGGCTCACAGCAAAGGTTTATTTGTTAGTGCTGCAAGCTTTCAGCTGGGAGTTCTCAAAATGTTGATTCCAAGTAACTTGCAATCCTAGGATGACTGATTCCCCAATGTAGTCCTTATTCACAGAGGATAAGGGATAAGTTATTTTTTTGCAGCAGTAAATGCAGGCTGCAGTTACAGCAGTTCCAAACTTCGCTTATGTAACCCTGAAACAAAAACCAGGAGGTAAATCCTCCTTTCAAAAGCTTTTATCCCAGTGAGAGCACCCATCTCAACCTGCACACTCCTGGCTGTGCTCACCAAACCTTTTGGTACCAAGATGACAAGCTGCACTGCCTCTGCTCCTCAGCCCTTGGGCTCACTGTCCACTGGGGAATCTGGAATGGAAGTGTTGTGCTTGTGCTTTTCATTTCCTCAAGAGAGCCCGTGTGGAGGCAGCAGCGAGGAGACCCACAAGATCTTGGTTTAAGTAAATCTCAAAACATTTTTAAAGCAATATGTTGAAAACCTGATTTTTCAAATTATTCGTAATAACCCCAGGCTTCCAGCAAAGCTTCAGAATGAGGGATCTTCTCAACAAAAGAATAATTTATAAAGCCTTTTCAAGTACAGCTTGAGAGGAAAGGTAACTGACAAGATCTAAGAAAATATTGACCATTCTTGCAAAATTGAAATGGGAAAGGGATTTTGAGTGATACATCATTATTTAACACTTGTAACAAAACTGCATAAAAAGACCGTTTCAATCTGTGTTATTGAGAGGTCTGGAGTACAGACAGTAGCCCCTAGTAGCACACCTAAGCCATTTACACGTCCAGATAATGATTCCCAAAAGTTACAGCCTTTCAGAGTAACAATTAACAGTTAGAACTGTCTGTTTCTTTGATTTTCTCAGCATTAGTTTCCTTCTGCAGCTGCTTGCTTTTCTCTTCTTTCACTTTGCTCTGATTCAGCACGTTCTCAGATGTCTGATCCCCTCTGGTGGAAACAGGATCTAAAACTACAACTGATTCTGTCTCTTTTTCACTGTTAGAAGCTTTTCTTGTAAATTCAGTGAGACTAGTTGATCTAAAGGAAAAACAATAAATACATGAATATAGATAACAGCTCACATTTCTAGAAGGAATATAAATATGCAGAGAAGCATTTCTATTATTATTTCTATTACATACTACTAATAGAAAGTATCACTAGGACAGATCTACCAAAATAATAAGCATTTATAGATTTAGCAGCCGTTACATACAGATAGTAGTGCACAAAATGCAACAGTCACATTACTCCTCCTGAATTGTTTGTTAAGCCAGCCATGGAAGATATTTCACAGGAAAACAAACTTAAAAATCACTGAGAAAAATCCTTAGACTATGAAAGAACCAATTTAAACTCTTAAATATTTTTCTCTCTGCTCATCTCTGAGCTGGATGTAGGTTTCCTCATGTCCAAACAGAGCAGCTGGACATGTAAACGGACAGAGAAAATGCTCCCAGTTCCTGCAGCCTGGAAGGAGAAGATGGCTTCTCCTGCACATCTGCAGCCTCTGCAGGAGGCAGTGGTGGTTGGTGCAACCCGATCTTCTGCAGGCTGTTCGAGGTCTCTCTGGGAGCAAGTGCAAACGACTTCTGAGAATTCACCTGCTGGATTTACTGAAATCCAGAGGGCGTTAGACCTGCACTCTGCACTGCAGACACAGGGTTACAGCTTGGTTGCTCACAGGGCTGGGATCTTTGCAGAGAAAAAGCCCTCGGAGCAGGGAAAGAAGAGGGAAGAAAGGTCAGAGACACCAGGGTTGTTTGTCAAGGCTGGCAATAAACACTAAAAGCACATGTCTATATTGAAAAGCTTTGTACTAGTGTTGAAAGCATGCAGGCAAATACTTAAGATTGGCTGGAATGCACCAGTAGAGAGCAAGGAAAAGCTGGGGAAAGCACAACCTGAGGAAGTGGCAGTGGGGCATCTCCATCATCCTGGGCAGACAGGAGCCTGCAGGCCTGAACCTCCTTCACCTGCTTCCCAGAGCCTCCTGGCCCTGTGTGCCACCATGTTCTGCCACAGGGCAGGCACAGCTGCCCCCAGCCCACCCTGAGGGAGGGCTGTACCCACTGGTGCAGACACCATCCAGGTGTCCACACCGAGACAGCCACAACCACCACAGTGGACAAGTGCAGAGCATCTCGGTGCAGGAGGGTCCTACATGCACCAGTGGGTGTGTGGCTCTGCTCCCAGGAAGCTGAGAGCTGCTAAATGCATCTGTGTTTGCTCATCCAGAGCCTTTCCTTTTCCTTTTTTTTTTTCTTTTTTAATTTTTCATGCTCTCTCCTAAGAAAAGGCCTTCCATACTGCTAAGGTAACACCCTTGAAAGGAAAAAGTAGAATCAACTGGAGGCCAGAGAAAGAAATTCAGCTACTGGATCCATCTGCTACAAACCACCCTTTCTTGTGACAGTCTTTGTCCTAAAGAAAATGACAAGGAAAAAAACAACAGGTCACCCCACTCAACAATTAGAGCCTGGGGCAGAGAATGTACTGGCTCCCACCTGAGGGGGAGAGTAACTGTGCAGCTTAAAACAAATAAATAATCACAGAAACAACAGTTGCTGCACTTTCCATTTCAGAAAGAATTTACTCAGGTTGCTACCAAAACACTGGATACAGCAGATGAAATTCCATGTTCAAGCTTTAATTACCAGAATTGTCTCTAACGTTAGAACTTCGGCATAAGTTAATGAACGCAGAAATTGGCACTAATAGATACAGTTTCAGACTCATTTGCTTATCATCAGAAGCTAGTGATTTCATAAGGAAAATAAGCATTATTTTATGCAAAAGTTGCCAATCATTCCAGAAAATACAAGGTGAGGCATTTTGAACGTTACTGCAAATTAAACTTTTTAAAGCAGTGTAACCAGAAAAGGGTTATTTTTAAAAGTGCTACCTCTGAAAAGCTGATTGCCCAACACTATAAAAGTGGTCAAAGCCATAAATGCCAAGTTCATTTTTATTTCACTTTGGAGGTAACTATCTTTCAAATCCCAACAGCTGGACTATTTAATACAATCTGGTGAATCAAAGTATAATTCTTCACTGGGCTCACAGTGGGGAGTCTGCATTAGTGCATGGCAGCATTCCAACAACTGATGCACAGCCAAACGCTCGGAAGTCTGTTTCATTTACCACAAAAATGGATAAAACTGCAATCATATTTACCCCTTTCAAAGGACAGAGAAATGAAAGATGTCGATATAAAGAAGTTTAATGGAGAAAACCAGTGATTAAAGCAGCATTTCAGGCACAAAAATAAGAATTACTATTCAGACTTTGTTGTACTAGCGTTCCCTTCTTCAAATCCTTTACACTGTTGCAGCACCAGCCTGACAGTGCTGCTGGTACAGCTGAGGTATTGTTAAAAAATTATTGACCCTATTTATCATGTATTCATAGCTCATTTTCTATAGTTTGTCAAGAGCAGAATACAGGCATAATAAAGTTTCAGTGCAAGAATAAACATAATTTTGCTGCTCCCTTTCAAAAAAAACAACCCAAAAACATACAGGTTTTGCTGCTACAAAGAAAGCTGAGGAAAGCAATTAGTGCAGCCACATTTAGCCACAGTTTTGAACAATCCCAAATTTGTCCAGCCAAGGTATTTGCATTTAACTCTATGCAAAGCTCTTGCTTTAGTAAGATTATGTTGTTATC